GACAGGATGTTGCCATCTCTGCTGATGACTCTCTGAGAGGAGACACGCAGCATCAGCAGCTGGTTAGGTACCACGTTACTGGTCCCACTGACAGTCTGACATCAATGACGGAGCTTATTTCATTGGCAGAGACTCTCGTGCTTCATCGGGCTTTTAAATAAACCTCGTTAAGCCGTCGAAACTTATTGTTTTTCCAAATCGATTCATTTCTGTGGATCCTTTCATGGCGACACTCTGAAACGCTGATGTTATCATGTGTTTTCGCTAACACTGCGGATGCAAACACATTTGTCCATCAGGGAGAGACCCGTGTTAGTCTGTGTGGGTGTTTTTGTGCGTAAGAGAAGGAAAAACTTCTCACACAAAAAGAGGAACCTCGTCTATTTATGTGAATGTAAATGACTTCATGTATATCTCAGGATAACACCGACAGTAAAAGCTTTTTTGTCACATGCATTTCTGCCCCGGTTCATGATTTGCTGTAGTTTAAATAAATGACACTGTTGTGTTAATACAGATATATTGGCATAAATGCTCACGCTATCTCTGAAGTCAGTTTGTGAGCGACGGGTCAATCAGGTGAAGCTGTACCCGTTTCCATCCCAGCACCATCGCACGATCAGTTTAGTCAGCAGCCGCAATGTTTGTAACACAGATCATGAAACCACCCTCAGTGCTTACCTCACCAGTGACATCATCCTGCAAGGTGAGGTCAGGCTGACCCAGGTCGATGCTCTTTCTGATTTCCTCTTTTCCTGTTCCTGGCCCTGACAACGAGTCGCAGAATCACTTTAACACTCAAACACACACAGATGTCTGGTCTTTAACTTTCCTCGTGGCTCCAAAAGGACTCCTTGTTTGGAGTCCGAGGGTCATTTTTACATTACACTCTCCAAACATCCAGCAGCATCTTTTCAAAGTTCTTCAAACATTGTCATTTTCAAGTGATGCAGCTGCAAGCATGACAACGTTAATGGTCATCATGACCGTTTCTCTCTCACCTGGCTTCTTCTGTTTGTGATTAGGAAGCTTCTTAACAGAGCTGCCGCTGAGGCGGCGGACCGGACTGGTCAGCCACTTCCTCAGAGTGTTCCCAGAGCGTTTGGGACCAGGAGAGCTGGACTGCAGGGAGCTGAGGGACGGCTGCGGCTGAAGGTTGGCCACCGATTCGGTCTTGCCGTCCGAGCCAACAGTATAGTTTTCTGAAAGGAGACACACAACATGTGATTTTTTAAACACACACCATCTGTTATGTAACCTGTTGCTTCAATTCAATTCAATT